ATATATATTATATATTATGATGGCTGTGTGCTGTGGAGTCAGTTCCGACTCATAGCCACCCTGTACAGAGTTTCCAAGGCTGCAGAGCTTTATGTGAGCAGAAAGCCTCATCTTTCTCCCGTGGAACAGCTGGTAGTTTCGAACTGCTGACCTTATGGTTTGCAGCCTGATTTGTAACCACTATGCTACCACAGCCCCTATATATTTGTTGCTGTTAAGTGCCGTGGAGTCGATTCCGACCCATAGTGACCCTGTGTAGGGTTTCTGAGGCTGTAAATCTTTATGGGAGCAGAAAGCCTCATCTTTCTCCTGCGGAACCGCTGGTAGTTTCGAACTGCTGACCTTGAGGTTAGCAGAGAGAATAGAAATTCTCCTTCAGAAGAGGTCAGTAGGGAGGCCAGAAGTAGCTGAGAGTGGTGCAGCCTAGCAAAGCCTTGTGACTGATTTTAATGAATGATGGGAGCCCTCTGCTGGGCTTTCAGGAAATTCTGAAATTTAGTTTAAAACTTGAGTTTCTAAAAAGTCTTCAACTTTATTCATCTTTGCATATTTAACCTTGAACTAATTCTCTCCATAAGGATTTGGGAGTAGGGGGATGTAGGGAATAGAAGACAGAAAGTGCATGTGTACGTTTGAAATTTCTGAAACTCAGCTTTTTGAAGATGTCTAGTCATAATCATTCTGTTATACCACATATCTTTATGGTTCTTTACCAAAGTAACTTATAAATTATAGATCTAATTAAAAATAACCTGTTACTGTTGAGTCAGTTTCAACTCATAGCAACTCTATAGGACATAGCATTTCCAAGACTGTAATTTGTATAGAAGCAGACTGCCACATTTTTCTCTCTGGAGTGACTGCTGGCCTTTTGGTTAGCAGCTGAGACCTTAACCGCTGTGCCACTAGGGCTTCTCAAGGACTACAACAGTGTTAAATAATTTCGTTGGTTGGTCAGCTAAGATCTTTTGAGACACAGAGCCTGATGCAGCAACCCATATGACTATGTACTGTATAATTTCTTACATATTTTTCTCCCAGGGGACACATTTCATTGTTTATTTTTATTATTTTGAAAGTGAAAATAAGTAGATTTACCTTGCTATTCTTATCTCTTCTCATAAACTCTTCTATTTTTTTAAGTGGATTATCGAACGCTTTTATGGGAAAGTCAAACCATCACTGCCATGTGTCTGCATATGAAAAATCTTTTCCTATTAAGCCTGTCCCAAGTCCATCTTGGAGTGGTTCATGTCGTCGAAACCTTTTGAGTCCCAAGAAAACTCAGAGACGACATGTTAGCACAGCAGAAGAGGTAAGAAAAACCTGCAACAAGAAGTTTAGGGTCTTTCCTTCCGCTCAGCCATTTGATACCTCTGATTTTATATGCTTATTAACCATTCCATTTACTTGGTCTTTCTGTCATTTTCTTTCTGAATTATAATTCTAGAGTACTGTCATCTGTTGTGAAGAAAGTATTTAGAGGTATTTTAGCAGTACTTTATTATTCTTACTATTTTTTATTCCTGTTAGAGAGCAGGTATTACTTAATCTTCAGTATTGCTTGAATGGTTTTTTATACATCAAACTGTCTCCTCTTTTTTTCATTAATATTTATTGGTAATTGAGTGAAGGTTTACAGAGCAGATCATTAGTTTTTGCATTCAATGAACCATATATATTGCTTGACTACATGGTTGCAATCCCCTCCGTATACAATTAACAGCATTGACTTCTGTTCCCTTTAACTATTATATTCCTCCCTATGTCTCCTGCTACCTTCATCCTTCCTCTACCCCCCCTTTATTTATTTATTTATTTAAAACTTTTATTGTGAATTGAGTGATAGTCTACATGTCAGATTATCAGTTTTGCACTCAGCCAATCACATCTTGTTTCATTTTGGTAATTACAATCCCCTTTTTTGATGTACACAAAAACATGCAGGAATATATAATCATTGAAATAACCAAAGTGCCCATTTTGCAAACCAGCACCCTGCCCATCAGCACACAGCTTTTCTCTTTCCATGAGTTTAGAGTCTTCAGATGTTCTTTCTCTCCATGCCATCATCTCTGCCTCTGACTCTGGTATCGCTGTTCTCTGGATCAGGTCCCACATTCTATTCATATTCTTCCCTCTTGCTGGTCCTAGAATCCTCTGTTTCTGGACTGTAATAAGTAACTACTCCCCTCTTTTTGTTACACATCTTCTTCCTTTACAATTGTGACAGTTGCAATTAGTCATGATAACAATTACTATTGAATCAAAAGAATCCTATCTCCATCTTCTTTCACCATACCCATCTATTGTTGTTAAGTGCTGTCTAGACAAGATGAAAACTATTCAGTAGGGATTCTACCTTCCCCCCTCAAAGTCTGAAACTAAACTCCCTCTTAAAACTTGTAAGCCAGTCACTTTGTGCCTTTATAGCGTTCTCCCCCCCCCCCCCCCCTCCACCATTTTAGGTAGCCAGTGTCTGAGTTGCCCATCCTTTTCAACCGTATATGCAGAGGGGATGGAAATAGATCCTTGCTGTAAAGATTCTTTCCCTCTTGGTTGGTATTTTGTGCTGCTACATCTATAAGGTAAGGCCAAGTTCATCAAATTGTAGCAGTTTATTCAAGTCATCCAAGCTAGGTAAAATAGGTATTATCTGCAAATTTGGGCATTCTTGTGCATCTCCCCTACTTCGTATCCACTAGACAGTTTACGCTCAGCTCTAGCCCCTGTGGCTAGGTCAGTGTTCATTGGCTCACTGGTTCCCAGGTCTCCCCAAACTTTGGACCAACCAGCCCTTCCTCTTCTCTCTCTGATTTCAAGGTCGACAGGCATCTTTGGAAGATGGCCAAGCTCAGCTCATGTTTTCATTACTGTCTTTCTTCCACTTCCTCTTAACAAGTAAACCAACATGGTCACCAGCAAGCTTACAAGCCTGCTTGTGTGTTCCCTTTGAGTTTTGGTCTTAGAAGGGGGTTTGTCCTGAAGCGACTTGATGGCTTGCCTTGATGGCTCCCAGGCGAACAGCTTGCTTGTTTTTGTAAAAATTATCTCCTTTTTTAAACCTATCTATACTCTTGTTTCCTTTTGTAAAACTGTTAGCTGGACTTTATTAAATACCTGCTTCTGCTTCTCTCACTAGGAACATTTTTTTCTTCAATATTAAAGAAACATCAAGAACCAGTTGAACAGTTTACATCTTTTTGTTTTATAGAGTAAGATTTTCTTTAAGGTCCTGTACTTTCCCAAAGGAAAATAAAATCAATTCTATTAATGTAATATAGCATATAATTTGCACAGTACAAAATATGGTTGTACCTGCCTTGGAGTCATTTCCAACCCTTAGTGACCCTGAACAAGTTTTCCGTGGCTGTAAGTCTTTAAGGGAGCAGAAAGCCTCATCTTTCTCCCGCGGAGAGCCTCATCTTTCTCCCGCTGACCTTGCGGTTCACAGCCCAATTCGTAACCACTACGCTACTAGAGTTACATATTATTGTGTTTCTAAATATTAGTTTGGAGTCCTGGTGTGGCACTGTGGAATAAGCACTGGACTGCAAATTCAGTTTGAACCACAAGGTTGACGGTTCAAACTCTCCAGTTGCTCCTGGGAAACCTTGTACGTGGGTCGCTGTGCGTAGGAACCCACTCAGCAGCACTTAACAACAACATGGGGAGCATTGTGGCTCCATACAAGAAGCATTGAACTACAAACCACAAGTTCCATGATTTGAGGCCGCCAGCTGCTCCATGAGAAAAAGATGAGACTTTCTTCTCCCTCAAAGATTTAAAGCCTCAGCAACTCTATATAAGGTTGCAGTGAGTTGGAGAACTGACTTGTCAGAACTTGACAACAATCTTATACTACACTATCATAACATTTATGACATACTTATCATTTCTTTATGTTTTTAAAAATAATGTTTTATGTTTTTGGCAAAGTTTATATAGCTAATGAAGTTCTTATTTTACAATATTGACACAAACTGTGCAGTGACATTAGTTACATTTTTCACAATTGCATTTTTTTAAACTTTTTGTTGTGAATGAGTGAAGGTTTACAGAGCAGACCTTCAGTTTTAAATTCAATAAATCATAGACTTGCTACATTACTTGGTTGCATTCCCTCCATGCACCAATCCTTATTTTGTGCGTTAATCAGTTACTTCGCTAAAAGGTGACCTCAGGATAGTTTTGGTTCAAGGTTTAGAGTATCTCAAGAATATAGTCTCAGGGAGTCAGTCCTCCATTCTCAACTGTTCCAGTAAGTCTTGACTTTGAAAAATTGAGTATTGTTCTGCAGTTTTCTCCTGTTCTGTCAAGGTCCACTATTGTGGCCCTGATCAAAATGGTTGGTAGTATTAGCTGGGCATCATCTAGTTCTTCTGGTCTCAGAGTGGATAAGCTATGGCTCATGTTGTCTAGTTTCTTCTCTGAGATTTTGGTTTCTTTCTTTCTTTCTGTTGTGCTCCAAATGAATGGAGACCAATAGTTGTACCTTAGATGACTGTGTGAAAGCTTTTAAGACCCCAGGATGCTACTCATCTCACTAGGATGCAGAACATGAATTTTGTGAATCTAGTTGATAAGATGTCCTATAAAATTAAGGTTGTAAGCCTTCCAGCCCAGAAAGCCATTCTAACCAGATACTTGGTTATGTCAACAAAGTCTTGTGTATCTATGTGTCCTCTCATATATGTTAGCACACACATAGCTGTATGTACAAGTACACATAGATACTATTATCTCTACACAAATGTGTATTCATTTGTATCTACCTATGCACATATATTCTTATATACCTACATGTTGTTGTAGTTGTTAGGTGCCATCGAGTCGGCTCCGACTCATAGCGACCCCATGCATAGCAGAACGAAACAATGTCCGATCCTGGGCCAACCTCACTACTGTTGCCACACTTGAGTCCATCGATGCTGCCACCTGGCCAATTGTTTTCGTTGGGGGTCTTCCTCTTTTTCTCTGACCCTCCATCTTACCAAGCATGATATCCTTCTCTAGCAACTGTTCCCTCCTGACAATATGTTCAAAGTATGAGACATGAAGTTTGGCCATCTTGGCCTCTGAGGAGCACTCTGGCTGCACTTCTTCCAAATCAGATGTATTGGTTCTTTTGGCAGCCCATGG